ATCGCGATTAGAAAATAATCCAGTTTAATTTGATATGTTTCCACCCCAACCTYCTTTAGCYGCCATCTCSATTATGAAGGTTGRCTTATCASAACGATTCTAACTTTTGAGTTTGCTGAGCTGAATAAGTCGTCTACGTCCTATACATATTTTTCCTTAAATTTTTCTTTCTTCGTTTCTTGTCGTTATTTMATTTTYCTTATTGATGTGTTTYATTACTTCTGCGTTAGTTATTCTTTACATCCATGATATTTTCCACAGTCTCCGGTATAACCATAGTTGAAATGYCTCTGGTCTTTTYTGGTCAKMTTTTTTTGGKGYYCMAGTTTTCATCYTTTAGTATTMTTTTACTCTTTCAATAGGTTGRCYTTTTACGACWTATCTTACGATTTGGTTATTAATATTAGTTCTCCGTTGATTTTGTTATTGGCGTGTATTTTGTTTTGCTTCTGTCTTATATTGATGATAGTCTAACTTTTTCCTTATTAGTATTTCCAAGACTTGGGCGTGCCGAACTATATCGAAGGTCTTATTATAGTTTATAATACACATGTGAAAGTCTTGAATTATATCCAGATGTTTGTGATCGCCCATTGATTGCAAACAGTGTCTCTCTTGTTTCTAGGACTATACGGAATCCGAAATGCAGGGTGGTCCTCAACTAATGTCCAAAAATTAACTGGCATTTTGTTTAGGCAAAAATATTGCGTTTTAAGCAAATTTATCTCATCCGAAAGTTAATAGATTCCGAGATACAGAGTGTCAAAGTGTAAATAAAAATTTCGTTTTTTCTGAATAGATTTTAACTAGTTTTACTAGTACCACAAAAATTTGTATTTGGGGGTTTTTTAGATCTGAAAATCCAAATGCCCTATTGAATTGCTTGTAGTTTCTAGAGGGCGCTAGCTGCAATAGCCTGAAGCCGTTTAAAACATCAGAACTTTTTTGGGTTTTAATATATCACTTTTTTGTTGGCATTATCTGGTTCTCCAATATTTCTAAAAATGTGTACTTGATTCAAGTCCATATCTGTCACCATTTTCGAGATATTTCACATTGAAACATCTAGTCATTTTTTGCACTAGCTTAAATTAGATCCCTAATATTGTCGTAAATTGACTTATATTACTTTAAAGTAGTTCTAAACGTGCCTAATTTAATACTGTCTAATGTTTGTTAAGTTTTGTTCAATAGAAAATTTGCGCAAAAAAATCTTTTATTTAGACAGATTTCCAATTAGTTCTAAAATTTCTATCTGTTTCAATGTGAAATATTTCGTAAACGGTGAGAGATATCAACTTCGGACAAGTACACATGTTATGTTTAAAACTTATCGTAAAATGTGATTTTACCAACCGTATGAAAATATTTGAAACGCCAAAAATTTGATTCTTTGTTCTTTAATGAATTTAGTGCATATACAACTTCCCTTTTAATTATATCCGGGTTTAAATTTCCATCTATATTTTCCAAATTAATTTGTGTCATCACACAACTCATCTTCGAAGAGTTGTGTGATGTGTTTCTTCAATGTTTCCATTTCTTGTTGTATTTCTGCTACTATTTTTCCGTTGCTTTTGTACCCTAGGTATATTGAGCGGCTTGGGATGGCAGGTTTCGATGAATTCTTTAACTTTTTTCCGAATATTAAAACTGTCGTATTTTTTTATAGTTTCCCGATGTTGCCACTTTTGCTTGAATGAGTACTCGTTGTGATTCGTTAGTTTTCTTCTTTTATCTATAAAGTTAAGAATTTCGTTGGTTATCCATTCTTTCTTTACTGCAACTTTATCTTTCTTTAGTACAGTTGTGGGTTCCATTAAATCCGTGTTAGGGTTGTCTATCTTCTCGCTTAATTTATGTAGTATTCATGTTGTTCTTTGATGCCACGTGTATTTAAAGTTCTCGTTTAGTTATATTTGTAGTTCACTTCGTATACCTATCTTGGTTCTGTATTTATCGGTGTCTTTTTTTCTCCAGTGTTTTTTTTTTAGATTTTTGCGTATCTGGGCTGTTAAAGAATTGTGCCATACCAATATATGAAACTAAATCAGACCCACTTATAATGTCTACTTTCCAATGAATCACCCTGTATCCATTCAAGATTTAAATGTAATGATGCCTATCGTTCCAAATATCGTTCTGATTTTTACCGCGAGAAGGTCATATCCTTAACCAAATAGATAATTGATATTTAGAAATGAAGATTTGGACTAATTCTTGTCTACTTCACAAGTCCGGCTTGGTTCCACTAAGTTGCACATGATTCAAATTAAAAAAATATTGCAAAAATTAATTTATTAATTTCATTGAAATTTATATTAATTACGTTATTTTAGTTCGTGCCTATACGGATTAAGAAAGCATAAATATCACATCAAGCTATTATTGGTCTGTAATTATTAAAATTAACTGAATGTTACTTAAAAATTGTGCACTTTGGTTAAGCACGCATCGTTCGACAATAAACGCAAATAGCAAAAAAATACTATTCTGAGGAGAAAGTAGATTAGTTTTGTTTATAGAAAAATGCATCGAGGAAATTAACGAAGTGAGACAAGGGGAACATTGCTAATAAAAGTGCGTTTTAATTAATCAATTAATTAAATTTTATTTTGTTAATAATAAAAAAAATTGTAGCAAATTGTGCAGCAAAAAGTGCATCTTCAAACATAACAATTTGATGAAAACGTCGTAATAATCCGCAATAATTACTTTTTCCCTAAATATTGAAAATGTGTCTTCTGTTGAGGAAAGAACACAGGGATTTCAACGTTTTATGTGCTGATTTCGAGAATGTTTCATTGCCTTATTTCAGGTAGCTGAAGCATGAAACCATTAGAAAGTAAGAAGCAAACAGAGAAGAAGCAGTGGTTTCAAAAAATACAACACTGCAATAGATTTGAAGCGAAATAAAATCAAGTTTGAAATTCAGCCAAAAATTTGCATGCAAATAAATTAGTCCACACGTAGAAACTTGTGGTTGGAATAGCAAAAGCGGACAAATTTTAATGAAAGCAACTACGCTGATCACCATGGATGAATGTGGAACGAATGAATGAAAGTAGACTTTCGACCTCGGGGTGTCGCATCTCAAAGAAAAGAGGGGAAAGGCCAGAATAAAAGGTAGTGAAGGTATTAGAAATGCTATGAACGCATGAGTAGTAGAAAAAAATGAAATCAACAATCAGAGTGGATTAGCTGCGGACAAGCATATAAAGAGTGTTTTATAGTCGTGCGCAAATACTTTACACTTAAGTTTGTTAAATATTTACCTACACTATTTGAGAATTTTTCACGTTGCTTCCAACATTTAATCAGGAAATAAGCAGATTTTCTAAAACGAAACTCTTCAGCACTTAGACATAGTTATTCTTAAGTTGATACTTTATATTTAGGTGTTGATAGAAGTTATTGAGGCGAACATTTTCAAATTGCATTCTTCAAATGACTTAAAAGCAAAAAAAAATAGGTTCATCAATCATTTAAAAGTGGTCCAACAACATGTAAAACAAAATTTTTAAATGCTGACTGCCATGCGAATCTTTTTTGCACGTTTTTATCTCTTTCTGGTTGTTATTATCAGATTTATTATTATATGCACTACAGCCGGACGACTGCTCAAGTAGAATTCTCGTTTCTAAAAGGTTTTCACGACAACACAAATTCAGATTATGCAAATGAACTTGTTTAGATTTTTCTATCGGGTTAACAGTGGTTCACAGCATATGTAAGTTTCGAAAAACAGCAGATACTTACCTAAGAATATATTTTTTGTAATGACTGTAATGCACCAGAAGCAAATGTACGCTTAAATTTGGTACGGCTTGATATTTAAAACAGAAAATTCCCAAAAAAACTTTTGATGGTAATTACAATAAAACACTGTAAGTTGTTCAACATGACAGCCTGTAAACAGAAACGCGGAGAATTTGATATAATAAAGTTATGGTACGGCGTAATGTGTACCTACTCGTAAAATCAGTTATTATTCGTGTTTTTTTACATTAATAACTGATAAATATGATTTCAATTAAACTTTACGCTTCATAAATCATGGCTTAAGGAAGTAAACGCAAACGAAAATTGCAAGAAAGAGAAACAGCACGATACACCTGAAAACCGAGAAAAATATGGAAACTCTCGTAAAGAAACCAGGAAGTTTTTGAAAAGACAAAACGAAGAATATAAACGTCTAAAATACGAGATGATCGAAAGAAACAGGTCTAAAGCAGCTTCTAGGGAATTCTATAGTTCAATGAAAATCAAAAAAAGACGAGGATATCAGCCCAGGCCGGTCCCGATGTTGAAAAGCGCTAATGGAGACATGATAATTAACGAACACGAGCAGATGGAAACATGGAAAAACTATGAAAAACAATTATAATTTATAGAACCAGATGAAAAAACACACTTAAAATACTTACCACACTGCAGATCTTCCTGTAGAGGTACAATCCATGGCAGAAATTCGAAAAGCAGTAAAAAAAATAGAAAACTCAAAGGCTTTTGGATCGGATAACATTCCATCAACTATTAAAATACGGAGGTGAATCGTTATAAATACATACAATTACAACAACTAATAATTTTCATATGGAAAGAGGGGACAATACCAACAAAGTGACAAGAAAGCATCATAATACCAATCTTGAAAAAAGGCGACAAGTCAAAGTGCTCAAACTACAGGGGATTCTCACTCATCAATACGGCCTACAAAGTCCTGGCCAATATTATTCTGGATAGACTGACTCCATTCTTAGAGGGCGTCCTGGGCGAATAACAGGCAGGTTTCAGAAAATTTAGATCCACTATTGACCAACTTTGCACACTCAGGCAATTAATAGAGAAAGGATGATAGTTCAACCGTACTGCCCATAATCCATAGAGTTTCGGCAAACATACAAAAGCATGGAAATATTCCAAGTGTAGGATACAATGGCCGAATTTGCAATCCCAAGAAACTCATTCAGAGGACGAAAGCATGTGTGGAAGACGGAATGCTCAGAGTGCGAATAAATAACTCAGCTGGTTTTAAGATACGTAGCGGATTAAAACAAGGAGATGCCTTGTCGACTATACTCTTTAATATCGTCCTAGAAAACGCTAAGAGGTCAACAGAAATTAAAACAGAACTCCTGGTTGGATTGTTAGCATATGCGAATGATATTGACTTCATTGAGGACTCCACACCAACAGCAAAAGGTATCTTTAATCACATAGACAAAGCTACAAGAGAAGTAGGACTCAATATCAACGAGGAAAAGACAAAAATGTTGTGCCTAAACAGACAGGGGTGTACAGAAATAATAGTACAGAATATAACAATAGGCACTTATAATTTTGAACGAGTAGAGCGTTTCAGATATCTAGTTTTTCTTTTTTAAGTCGCCCAAAAGCATCTGAAGCACCTCAAGGCCGAGAGTCTACACAAGGTCGCTTATGGATGCGAGGCATGGACAATGACTAAGGCTGATGAAGAAAAACTTAAGCGTGTTAAAAGAAAAATTCTTAGAAACATTTTTGGTACTGACCACGACCCTAAGAACATCAGGACAAAGGCGGAGATTAGTCAATTGTCAAAGAAATTCATCATCAGTCAAGAAAAAATCGAAGCAGATCTCACTAAAATGAATACCCATCTGGACACGAATCTTCTGGAAGATCGGGATGCCTGGGGAGCATAGTCAGCTAAGACCCACCCTGGGTTGTAGGGCTACCTTGTATTGTGAATAAGCGTCATTCACCCGAATTAAAATTACGTAAGAGTTTTAAAAATACGCAGGTTTGGTGTGTTGGTAATCCCCATGAAATTCGGAGAAGCAATTTTCAACTCCGATTTTCCATAAATGCGTGGGCAGAAGTTGTGAACAGATTCATTGTTGGACCGCACCGAATGAGCGCCAAAATTTGTTTATGTTTTTTGCAAAATGATTTGCCAGTTCCTTTACGAAACGCGCCACTAAACATTAGACGGGACATGTGGCATTTACAGGATCTATTTTAGAATAAATGTGCTGGAGTTTTTGAGCACAAATTTTACGAATAGGTGGATTTTATAAAATAAACCAGATGCTTGACCGTTAAGGGTTACCAGATCTCAAATCTTGCAATTTGTTTCTGTGGCGCATGCAACGACCAAATCAACCCAAGAGAAGCTTTAATTATTCGCATAGAACAACCAGCAGCAACAAACAGAGAAAAAGCTAATGATATGCGATTATCTGAATATATTCTTTCTGTTAGGCAGAATCGTGGACTTACTTTTCGACAATCTGGAGTAATTTTCTCAGTTCTTCAAAAGTTATTTGAAAATGTTGCTTGTTTCACTGACTTCTATTTACAGTTAAAAAAATCAACTTAGGAATCACCCTGTATATGCCAATTTAAAACAATGTCAAAAAGATAGAGAGTGTAGCTTTTAGCACGTGTAGATGAGAGATATTTGATTATTGTTGCCGCTAATAAAATGTAAATAAATCGGT